TAGCTATATCAAGCAATATCTAAGAACAGAAATTTTAATAGTAACTATTTTGTAATGTGTACAGTTTGTGTTTAAGGCAATGATGCACATGCAAGGTACATGTATAACTAACTACGTACCCACTGTATTGTCTCATTATCTGATTCTATAGTGCTGTTTGTGATGATGAAGTCCAGTAATACAATGCTTTGAGCTGCTGGAAAGTCATTCAGTTGTTGTGATAGTGATTCAAGAGCATCATAATGTGATATATTAATCTATAAAGGTATGCCAATAATGAAGGCAGTGTTTAATAACAATAGATATCAAATTACTTTTGACATAATTTCTATGAATTGTTTACTGACACTGCAGTTAAGTTGACCCCATCTTCCATTAAGATCACAATATCTTGTAGCTAATAGAAAACATTTGGTTAATTTATTATAAACACTAACCGTTAAATGTTCCTTTATAACAAGTACCATTTGCCCATTGTCCTGGTTTAGTGCTTTCCCACTGATTAGTTCCTGGGCAATTCATTAAAGGAGGAGAGAGAGAAGGAGAGGGAGAATTGAAATGATAGGAAGATGTTGTTGCAAAAATTGAAGTTACTGTAGGTATTGTTGTTCTAGATAGAGTAGTATGTCCACTGTTTGAGGAGTGAGGTCTTGATGATAGGATATGCATTGATGATGTAGAATGAATTTGAGAAGCAGATGACAGTATTAAAGTAGGCATTGATGATGTAGCTTGTATACTGAAAGAGTTGATTTGAGAAGCAGATGACAGTATTAAAGTAGGCATTGATGATGTAGCTTGTATACTGAAAGAGTTGATTTGAGAAGCAGATGACAGTATTAAAGTAGGCATTGATGATGTAGCTTGTATACTGAAAGAGTTGATTTGAGAAGCAGATGACAGTATTGAAGTAGGCATTGATGATGTAGCTTGTATACTGAAAGAGTTGATTTGAGAAGCAGATGACAGTATTAAAGTAGGCATTGATGATGTAGCTTGTATACTGAAAGAGTTGATTTGAGAAGCAGATGACAGTATTAAAGTAGGCATTGATGATGTAGCTTGTATACTGAAAGAGTTGATTTGAGAAGCAGATGACAGTATTAAAGTAGGCATTGATGATGTAGCTTGTATACTGAAAGAGTTGATTTGAGAAGCAGATGACAGTATTGAAGTAGGCATTGATGATGTAGCTTGTATACTGAAAGAGTTGATTTGAGAAGCAGATGACAGTATTAAAGTAGGCATTGATGATGTAGCTTGTATACTGAAAGAGTTGATTTGAGAAGCAGATGACAGTATTAAAGTAGGCATTGATGATGTAGCTTGTATACTGAAAGAGTTGATTTGAGAAGCAGATAACAGTATTAAAGTAGGCATTGATGATGTAGCTTGTATACTGAAAGAGGTGATTTGAGAAGCAGAGGACAGTATTAAAGTAGGCATTGATGATGTAGCTTGTATACTGAAAGAGTTGATTTGAGAAGCAGATGACAGTATTGAAGTAGGCATTGATGATGTAGCTGAAGGTGCTTGTATACTGACAAGAGAGAAATCTGATGAATGAGATATTGAATTGACACTGGAAGATAGATCTAAAGGTGGTGAAGGTGGAGATTGCAATGATGATGTGTAACTGATTTTACTAGGTAGTTGTGACAAAGTTGCTAAAGATAAAGAAGTATGACTGAGAGGTGTAAGTTTTGTTGCACTGGGACATGAAGTAGAAACAATTTGAGCACTGGGTGTGGGCTGGCAAATTTCTACAGTATAATTGTAGCAATATGTTGATAGATAGCCTATGAATGGAAATTTCTGAATTGCTTTTGATATAAATGATAAATTTTCTTCATTGCAAAGTCCCAATTGCACACGAGTGTTCAAAATTCGAACCTCCCCATGGGTTATACTCACATGACAGCTAGGACTATGCTCCCTCCACAGGAATCGTAAAAATTTAAAAGTGCTTTCATTTACTACCTCAAAACGAACAGTCCGTTTATGCATTCCGTCTGATTCTGTGAAATTTAGAGGCCCTAATTAAGGGTAATAGTAAAAGTAGAAACAAAAGAGAGCCAGAAACAGACAGGGACTCCAAATCAAAATTACATTGCGAGATTTCTACTTTACTTCTACCAATACCCAAGATTCATAAAGTATTTAAAGACGGTTAGTGTATTCACTTACTTTTGAAAGCAAAGCATTGTGGGAAAAGAGTAGTTTCGTCAGGTGTGTCTGGCTGAACCACGTAGGCGTATCTTCCCCACAAAGAAAGTATATCAGCATCACTAGACGCAGTACATCCACCATTCACAGTGAAGTTAAATGTTAGTTCAACAAAAGCTCCATTAGATTTGTCAAAAAGACAAGTAAATAGTAGTAACAGCAGTAAAGTCGACATTATTATGAATAATCACACTTACATTGAATCATAGGTCGAACAGGCAATTTTATAGAATTCATAGATACGGCCATAATAGTCTGAAGTTTAATAATAATGAATGTGAACGGCCTACAAAATGGCGGCACTCGATTAAAAAGGATCCCTAAAACATGATAAATATAGTGCTTGTTATTCTAGTACTGGTATCATTGGGTAGTCCTCAGTCTAATGTATCTCCAATAGACTTCAACACACCTCAGTCCTGTAGCCATGATACTCAGTACTTCTACCCTGGAAACCTCTCCTGTATCTCTTGCCCACCCAACTCCATCACTTCAAGCAATCAGTGGTGAGTGTTCATTCATTTACTGACCTATACTTATAATAATGATAGGATTATCCTGTAACTGTGTGAGTGGATACAGACAAACCTCTAACGTTGGGCCAGTCACTTGTGAGGCCTGCCCTAGTCTCAGCTCTGTAAGTAGAAGACGAGGTAGAAGAACAATAAGACAATACAGTGCTCTAGTGCCTAATGTATATTTATGTAGCTATAGTGTAGTGGTTTTTTGTGATTGCCTTTGGGATTGTTAAGCTATTTTACAATATATGTAACTCCTGTGTCAGCTCCGCAGTGGCGTAGCCAGACCCTTTTTTATGCCTGGGCCAAGAAAGAAAAATAATGATTTCATGATGGGTATGGTAGTAAAACTGCTGAAAAATGGCTGCTTTTAAGTAGAATTTGCATGAGATTGCTTGTTTTTGTATTAGATCTTACAAAATACTATTGCTAACAATCAAATCAAGGAAAAAAGTTATAGAGCAGTGCTTAATAATTACTGGTAAAGAATTGAACATTGATATTTCAACTGTCTAATTATATTTGACCTGGGATCTGATACCCGGACCCAGGCCTGGCAGGCCCGGGTGTAGCTACGCCACTGCAGTTCTGGAGAATGCAACATAAGACCAGCCCCAGTTTGATTTTACATTGTGTTCTGTGCAACTTATGCAATGGGTAGAGTTATTTATAAACATAGCTTCAGTATTATGTGTACCTATACCTAGGTTAGATCTGATGATGGTTTGTATTGCCTCACTTGTCTGTCTCCATTGATATACACTGGAGGGACTTGCACTGGCTGTGAGGATCAGACTTCTATATTTGGTAAGTGAAAGAGGGGGAGAGGGAGAGTAAAAAGAGATTTGCTACTGTAAAATGTAAGCATTGATAACACCTACATATGCATGTACTTTGTACCTGTACATTATGTTCACAGTTCTGTTTGCACCTTTTATTTAATTTTGCTAAGGAGAGCTCCACCCAATTACAAAAAACATTTAATATTGAAATCAATATTTTTAATAGTCTATTTCTTTACCTACATGTGTATAACTGTAGTTGACAGAATTCCCATCAATCGTTCATCAACTGGAGACAGAAGGTGCCAAACATGTCCAGCTAGCACGATTGCTGACTCTAGCAAGAAGCTCTGTATCCCTTGTGGTATCAGTAATTGCTCCAACTGCCTCTCATTCACTAATGGAGTCTGCTTCACTCAACCACTCACTCCT